TTGCAACGTTGGTAGTACACGCAGTTCTAAAGTCTAATAAAGTGTCAAAAGCGGATAACCGAAAACCTGACGACGTGGCGCCGGTTCGTTCTTGCGATGAAGTCATTGCTTCATCGTGAAAGTCGTTCGTGAGTCCGCGCTAGGTTCTTCACTTACAAAAACCTGCAAAGTATTTTTATTGGGACAGAGATTACTGGTGGCACGGGGGCGTTTCCAGTTTCACCAGTACAGGTGGGCGAGCAAAGGTTCAACCAGGAGGGATGAGATTTGCTAACAGTCAAAAGAATTTTGAACTCAACGCAAATATGTAAATAGGGACAATTATCCCTCGGGCCGCGAAATTTTCTTTAGAATCAAATATTAAGTACACCAATCGCATTATCCAATTTGATACGAGACTATCGGCTTCTGGATAGTAGCAGCAGTTGTGAACACGTCAACTGGAAAGTCACTTGAATTATGTAAAGGATAAAGATATTGTAAACTATGCTTCATTAATCAGACGGAGCATACGACGCACATTCGCTTCACTGGTACCCTGGATACTGAAAATGTTAAGCCCAAACATTCCCTCAATTGCAATAAAATACTCTCCATACATGTTTTGAGGAATTCATTTGATAGCTCTCGGAGAATACTTTCCACGTACTTTTTTTTTCGAACACTGTTACCTCCCCGATCCTGTCTAAGATTTAACGCACTATAGGAACTAGAGATATACCTATATATTTAATGTATTATTTTATTTACATCAAAATAAAGTTTAGCCTAGTAAAACTATAGGACAAATTTAGTTGCTCTGTAAAGAGAAACAATATTTAAAGCTATTGCTTCACCCCTTTTTATGTTTTTTATATTTCAATCTTCAAAAATGCTTTTATATTTCTAATGTTCCTTCTTCTAATATTTCATTATTCAAAAATTCCATTTATGTCATCTTTATAACATATTAACCACTTTTAAGATAAATCGTATAGAGGTTACATATATACGAATGATGGAATCTACATAGATATCACAAAGACCGATCGCTCATCCATAAAAACAAAACCAAAAAAAATACGACTTTTATTGAAAATTTTTGGAACGAGAAAAAGAAATATAATAATATGATTCACTAACATTTTTTACACAATACATTGCTAAATAAAAAAAACGAAAGTTTTAAGCTTTCTGTGATATACGGCAATGGACTTTCAAAGCTTGCATCATATCCGCGATAACACGAAATACCTTCGAACCGTCTCACGGAAACGTTGATCAATGGCTTGCAATTTCAAAAACAATGCATCAAAATGACGTGTTATAAACACTCTTAATCCGGGATCGCATTTATTAATTATTTTTTATTTTATTTTTTATTGCTTAGATGTGTGGACGAGCTCACAGCCCACCTGGTGTTAAGTGGTTACTGGAGCCCATAGACATCTACAACGTAAATGCGCCACACACCTTGAGATATAGTTCTAAGGTCTCAGTATAGTCACAACGGCTGCCCCACCCTTCAAACCGAAACGCATTACTGCTTCACGGCAGTAATTACGCAAATTATAATTTTGCGGGTTTGATTTTTATTGCATGATGTTATTCCTTCACCGTGGAAGTCAATCGTGAACATTTGTTGAGTACGTATTTCATTAGAAAAATTGGTACCCGCCAGCGAGATTCGAACACCGGTGCATCGCTCGATACCAATGCACCGGACGTCTTACCCTCTAGGCCACGACGAATTCCATATAACAGTGAATAAATTATCAACGGCATGTTTGTTCGTCATGTTGTTTGTTAAATTACGCTGTTAAGAGTTATCTCTGTCGTTTTTTTTCTCCTACCTATGCTGAGAGCCTTGAGAGGCTATTTCAGCGTAACCTTAACTTAGTAGGTTGCTAACCTTAACTAAGTTTTACTTGTGGTAGGACCTTCTTGTGAGTCCGCGCGGGTGGGTACCACCACCCTGCCTATTTCTGCCGTGAAGCAGTAATGCATTTCGGTTTGAAGGGTGGGGTAGCCGTTGTAACTATACTTGAGACCTTAGAACTTATATCTCAAGGTGGGTGGCGCATTTACGTCGTGGATGTCTATGGGCCCCAGTAACCACTTAACACCAGGTGGGCCGTGAGCTCGTACACCTCTAAGCAATAAAAAAAAATATTATTCAAAAGGTTTTGTTGACTTTTATTGTAACGAATTCAATTACACAGAATACGAATGATATTGAACCGGTTGCTTTTTTTAGTTTTTTTTTTTAATACTTTTCAGAAACATTACAAGAACTATGAGCTCGTAAGTCATAGACTTACATCAAAAGTTTTTGAATGTAGCATCCCTGTTCACTCCACTTTATAATCTGCCTCTAACATTGTTTCGTAATGTGGAAATCATTTAACTAAGTGCAGCCGTAGTAAATGTTGGAAAGTAATTTAAGTTATGGGCGTTCTTAAGTTTTACGATTATTTTAAGGTCTCGCTCTTAAGTGACGTCATCGCATGCATAGCGACGCTCCCCGGTAAATAATGAAAATAAACTAATATCCCTTGACACTGTATGAATTAATTTTCCCGATATTTCGAACCCAAGGTATGTTTTTTTTAAGTATTAAGAATGCATGCTTGGGTTATTAAGGGAAGGTCAATATTGAAATATAATGTATGACCTTAAAGGAACAGCAAACTACTGCGGAATCTGTAATCTGTAACTACACTTGAGACCTTAGAACTACATATATCTCAAGGTGGGTGGCGGCATTTGCGTTGTAGATGTCTATGGGCTCCGGTAACCACTTAACACCAGGTGGGCTGTGAGTTCGTCCACACATCTAAGCAATAAAAAAAAAGAAGAAAAACAGCAGAAATCGACATGACTATTTCAATGCGCCACGTAGGGTTACTAGGTCACCTACATGGCAGTTAAAGGGCTAAGCCAGAACTTTTGAATTGAAAAAATAAAATTTACCATAAACAACAACAATTAACTTTCATCGACAATACACAGTGAGAACAGCACTATTCGTATGAATTCGGAATTACCTAAAATCGATGCCCAGAATCTAATTAAAATTTAAAAAAAAATTAAGACAATTCAAATGATTCTCGTCTAAAAACCAACTGATCGCCCTATTAGGATGATGTAACGTCGATCACCAAACACTACCGCTTAAAGATCCACTCAAATATTTACGTTAAGAAACAGAAAAACTGGGATATCGATTAACTTATTTAACAAAAAAAAAAACTAGTTTTCGTAAATTAAAAAGAACATGAATGTTCTAAATACTTTTATGAAAGAGGGAGCCATAATAATCCTTTGAGTCTTAAAATGGCGGAAATTATTTCTAATTCATGAAAAGGGCGCCAATAATATATGTGTATATCGTGACATCACCATTAAGAAGAGTGCTAGAGTTATAAACAAATGCTCCCACTAAGTAAAAAAAAAAACTCGCCAAATTCTAAAATTAGCGTGATTACGTAAACATTCAAACTGACAGTTGTCGTTGTCGTTGTGATTTTGATGATGTCTGTGGACTACAGAGAATTTTTTTTTTTTTCTGAAAAAATATTTACAGTTTACCTTTTTTCCTTTCTATTTATTACTACCATAGATTCGTATCGTGGTTACACGTAATTCAAGTCAAATTGCGAAATTAAGGCATGATTAACTTAACATGTCTACAACAAGCGTAAATGATAATGACCTATAGAGCTAAACTAGTAACTTCTAATAATTCTTCTAATAATAAATGTATTATGCTCTCAACACTATTCTATCAAAAAATATTTCAATCAAATAGTTTTACAAATAAGTCAATCAATTTAAATTCGTGTCGCGTATGACACAGCCGGTAAGTCCTGATCCTAAACAAGAATTTGATGTTCCAAATTTAAAAACTGAATTGAACATCACCAAAACTGGCGGGAACTATCCATGACAGCGACGCAAAAATTCGAGAAAAAAGTTTTGTACGCAAAAAAACATGGCTGGTTGTGCTTGTGTAGAAACAAAAAAAAAATTTGAAATTCCAAATTTAAATTGTGTCGTAGACTGGATGAATTATTTAATTTTATAGTTTCGTAAGCATTTTTCCGAAGCATAAAATTTCAGGCGAACAAACACGCGTAGGAACAGCTGAGAAACAACATGTCCGCGCCTTTATAGTTCAAAGGTTACCAAACTGGTATAACAAGTGACCGTCTAGTAAAATCAATAAAATATTTTAAATAGCATTAGGAACGACAGATTTTTGTGTCTCGATCAACGAATTCATTTCGTGTTTGGATCCGTTTAAATATTCTAGAGGTACATACGTGTGTATTTTACCGATTCTCCGTGAGCCATAGACGGCTTAGACATGACCTAATCATCGTTAAGTTCAAAAACTTGTTTTTTTTTTATTTCAAATTATGGAATAAATTTTTTTTTTTTTTCGAAATACTTTTTTTTTTCACAGGAACTCAAAGTCCTCGTTTAACTTTAATGCTAACGTCACAATATTAATACGCACGTAATTTTTTTTTTTTTTTCAAATAACTATTTCAAGTTTTTTTTTCTTCTCATTTAAAAAATACGTAGTAAGTATTGTATCAATAAAAATATCGTTCGAATCAACCGTACCATTTTCATTGAGTTATTCGGTTTCCTCATTATTATTTTTTGTCAAAAAGTTTTGTTCGTGCCTCTGTGCGTCCAATTTCATAGACAAATAAATCTGAAGATTAATTATATTGAATCGAGCGCAAACATTGTTCTAATAGATATTCTAACTCACATTTGACCTTCTAGTGTAGACGTAAAAAAAAATCACCGAACGTTCTTTTAATATAAAAATATATATGTATGTGTATATCCAAATATAAAATGTATTTTATGCACGTATATTCTAATGAGGTGTCATTAGCGCCTCGGGCGTACGTTCCGATATCCTTTCGCAACTTTCAGTCCGAGAGCAGAAGAAAAAAAAAACTAAAAAATAATAATTGCATAATCAAAGTTATACAACTCACCTCGTGTGTTAATATCGTTTTAAAGGCGGACCGGGTGCACTGACGTAGAATAAGACACTTTTGTAACACTCCTCAGCAGTACACATAATCCATAATCAAAGAAAGTGTTCTATTTTTTTTTTTTGTTGTTATTCCGTGTTCGCGACACAAAATTCCGTGGGGGGGAAAACTGATGCCGCGCGACGCGGGCTACGCGGGCAACGGCTGGCTGGCGACTGGCGAACGATACTGATCCCCCACGCAATAAAACCTTCGCTTTTCGAGAGTGGGGCGTGATCGGATATTGTATTTTTTTTTATCGGAAAATCGATCAGTTCAATTTTAAATTTGTTTGTCGCTTATCACACACATACAGCATTTCAGGATGCCCGGGACGAACTTGACGACTTTTTGCAGTAGTAGTAGATTGGGAAATCTATGAAAGATAAAGGTTTTAATCATATCTTTGATTTCGTCGCAATTTGATTGTGCCTTAAATGAAAATAAAAAAATCTCTAATAATAATCATGCATATGAATAATTTTATGCTCTACGAAAAACACCTGTGTTATCTAAAATATTTCATACAAATAACATTATAATATATCATAAATAGATAATGCGTTACAATTCTCATTAACTATCATTGGGCGTCCCTTTTTACGAGACCCCGTTGATGTCTTTTATTAGGTCGACTAAGCTGCTCTACTTTTAATTACAGCGACGTTACACAAAAGACAGGTTCATTTTTATTTGAACCCACAGATTAAACAAAGACGTGTACTTTTCATAAATAATGTATACATTATTAATAATAAATACATCAACAAAATAATTTTTTTTTTTTTTTTAATTTGAATTCCAGTTGTGTTTTTTAATCAGTACTATTAGAATCCGATGGTAAGTTCAGAAAAAAAGTTAAACATAATAACACTATTAAATATTTTTTTTCAATTAAATGCAGATGTATTTTTAAATCAGTACTATTAGAATCAGATGGTAAGTTCAGAAAATAAGTTACAGGATTGACTATGTATAAACGGCATCATAGGCAACTTAGTATGGCAATCCCAGTCAGTCATGGTCCATCTTGTGACCCCGTAAGAGAAGCTACCACCAATCCGCCCATTTCTTTCGCGAAGTCTTAATGGGTTTCGGTTTGAAGCTGGCAGCCATTTTACTTTATAACTGAGAATTAGAGCTCATATCTCCAAGTGGGAGCATTTACGTTGTTAATGTCAATGGGCTCCGTTAACCAGGTTAGGTGGTTCACCCATCTAAGCAATTAACAAAAAAATCGCATATTATACATAGATAGATAGTTAAGCAATTCTTAAAAAATCAAAATAAAAAATTAACAAAAAAATTATGGTTTTTTTTTTTTTGAAGCCGACGTGTTAGAGTTTCCCTTGGAACGTCAACAGACGACGTGGAAATAGAATTGAGAATGAGAAAAATAATTTCCAGTACATTCTACGCAATGCACAAAAATCAGTTGGCGCGTCAACTTTGCGATCTCTTCGCCGTTCTACGAAAATTTCCTAAAACGACTTATAAGTATAACGACTTATAAGTTAACAACTTATAAATATTTTACAACAGCTTAAATAGCTTACAAAAGAAGACAAGTCAGCTCACTTGATGGTCAGTGTTTGCTCACTAATATTATTAATACGACATAATTAGATTGTGCTTACAGATGAGGATTAATTTTGTTTGATAAAAGACAGACATAGCAGGAAAAATCGTAGAAGACTCATCCTAGAGATTCGACGTTTTTTTTATTGCTTAGATGGGTGGACGAGCTCACATCCCACCTGGTGTTAAGTGGTTACTGGAGCCCATAGACGTCTACAACGTAAATGCGCCACCCACCTTAAGATATAAGTTCTAAGGTCTCGAGTATAGCTACAACGGCTGCCCCACCCATCGAACCGAAACGCATTACTGCTTCACGGCAGAAATAAGCAGTGTAAATAAAAATAATAAGTGTCTAGAATGGTGCCTGAAAGGTGTTTTAAATGAACGCAGAGGTTCAAAGTAGATGAAACTCAGTTCTGGCTTCGCTGATAGAAGGTAGAGGTAGGGATCATCTCTGACTGTTCCTCAGAGAGCTCTCCATAGAAAATACATTACAGAACATAGAGTAAACTAAAACCAGTAGACCCGTTACACCGTTCTCTTTTTACGTTCGTCATAAAGTACCAACATAATATTAATATATCAATAATATTATCATAACGGTTTCATGTGCATATCTCCGGTACGCTGTGTATATAAATGATAAATGTGAACCATAATTTCTTAAAGTTACAATGCCGATAGCAATCGGTTCCGTAATAAAGCCCGGTTCAGATCAACATTCGAGTCTCTACGTCAGAATTTTAATTTCGCATTCTCTGAAGACTCAGATTGTATGGTAGATATTCGCGTTGCTAAGAACGTTTATGAGTGCGGTCAACGAACCTTGGTCTTTCTGTTTTCTACTGCGCAGACAGGTGAACGAGCTCACGGATCACCTGGTGCTAAGCGGTTACCGTGGTCCATAGACGTCACGGCGCGGATCCGGTCAAGCGCCTTAAAACTTGAAGTCCATCTCTCAATCGTTCACATGACGCAAAATAAATTATAAATTTTAAGGCTTACATTTTAATTTACCATTTTATTCTGACTTACTCGTTGTTACAGAAATTACCGCCTTAGGATTCGCTATGCTATGGGAACCGAAGACTGTATACATACTGTTACGCGCTGAAGATCGGGATAAATAAAAAATTACCAAAGTATAAATTAAAACTGTATTCAACACTTAGAACACTTAAAACACTTCACAAACACTTTAAAATTCTCAATCCACTTCTTCCGCTTCGCTTCAGATGATCCGTTTGCTGTTTTGCTTCGAGTAGTTTCGATTACTAACTGACTGCGTGCCATCTCTGCAACGCTTTTACAGTCGATACGACAACCCTAAATTTATCGAGTACATTCTGAGCAAGTCGAGTAGCTTCGATGTGTGTTTCTGCTATCGGACAATAGATGGCGTTGTGCTTCACACTTTTACTAGTACCTTCGATATTCGTTCGGCTTTTCGGCGATAGATGGCGTTACTCTTACAGGCGTAACAATATTTATATATGCTTAAATAAATGAATATATAGATAATAAACACCTGGACAAATAACTAACAGACTTGTTCATCACACGAATGCTTGCTTAGTATGGGAATTGAGCCCACGACACGCGGCGCAACAGAAGCGCTAATCACGGCACCACCGAGTCAGTCAAAATGATTAAAGTTAAAGTCAACAAAGTGTTATCAGAATTAGCTCTTTGCCTATAATGCTCGAATGACTACCCCGGAGTACTCTTATCGAGCGATGTAATTACGCTATAATTAATCGCGCGGGCCAGTATCAATTTTTCAGACAAACAAAAGGGTCTTTCTTCGCAGTGAATACGCAAAGCTGTGTCTTCAATGGATTGAATTGAACTAAATTGAATTACTCCCCAGAGATATAGAATTCAGATACAAGTTTCGATCATGAATGGATAGAATTTCATTGATATACAGGATGAAAAGCATGATCCTTGAGGAACACCACTTAATGTGTTCCGAGGGGATAATTATAGTTTACTTATATACAAATTATAATTTTGCGAGTTAGATTTTTATTACACGACTTTATTCCTTCACCTTGGAAATTAATCTAGAATATTTGTTAAGTACGTATTTCATTAGAAAAATTGCCACCTGCCTGCGTATTTCAAAATAACTTTGCATTATTTTCTCCTACACCTTCAATACATTTCAATACAGTCATTTTACTATTCTATAATACTGTTTATAAGCCACACAAGGATAAGGTCAAAGCGTATTTCTTCGTTATCCTGCGACAATCAAACGGAAGACAAATAATTTTACTTAAACATAAATTTTAATATATAAACTTATGTTTTACAACATATGACACTCGTTTTCCGCGTAAGGTATCGTGTTTTTGCCGCAGAACAAAAGTCGCACACAATGCTTATTTCCTGTGAAGCGTGACGTAATAGGTAAGGTTACTACCACCTTACCGCTTACTACTGCACTACCGCACTATATTTGTTCGAGTTTGAATGATGAATGGAGAGTTCTAGTTTGAAGACGAAGGATGAGAGATGATAAATATATCGGTAAGTATATCTTTTTATTTTCCTACCTATGCTGATAGCCTTGAGAGGCTACTTCTTCTTGACGTGTAGGTGAGCTCATGGCGCTCAAACCAAGAGTGTTGCTAACACTAGCACTAGCAAGAGCAGTACTTCGCAGAATCTACCACCGGATCGGACCCGCTGAGAAGACCCTACGAGAAACTCAGTGGGCTGGGTCTATTGGTTAATTTACTCATCAAGCGACGGGTTCGGCGAGGACGGTGACCGGTGCTTGAGGTACCTAAAAGCATCGTTAATGGATCAGGAGGATCCGTAATGACGTGCTTAGGGCAACGTCGACTGTTTACCATTCGGTCCACAGGATAGGGTATGTAATTTCTGGCGGCCACGACAAGAGGGTTTTCGTGTCGTGCTGCCTTCTCAAATTGGCGTCTCGCAATTCTCTCAACGCTACGACATGTCTCTCTTCAAACAAGGCACGGTAATACTATATGGCCGTAAGCGGTGGTTTAGCTGCGTCTCGTTTAGCGTTTTAATAAAGAAACTAACAATAAAATAAAATAACAATACCCAACAGTGCTATGGTAAAACTCTGCTTACGTCACAAACCGCCCACACACGACGTTGATTTCTGCGTTAACTGGCTGTTTAAATAAGCGGAAACGTAGACGTGCACTTCAAATAACTTTGCAAAGCAAAAAAAAAAAAACCTTTGATCGATCGCAAAACATTTGTGAGACAACAACAAAAATCAAAAATTACGACACCCAAAAGCAAAAAGTCTAAAGTACACAATTGCACACAGAAAATCTAACTTTAGCGGTTCGAAAAGAAAAACTATATGCGTTGTAGCTGTCGATTGAGCATTCGCCTTTTTTTGTGTAATACCGAAAATTTTAAAATAATTAGGAGGATCAATATTTTGCACCAACGATTTTCATAAAATTTAGTATACAGGGGATTTCGGGGGCGATAAATTGATCTAGCTACGATTTATTTTCAGAAAATGTTGTTTTATTCGTGTTTTCAATAATCAACTCTTTCCGACATCTTTTGGCGAATAATAATACTATTTTTCTTAATGAGGGCAACTAACCACTTTAAAGACA